ATACACAGACAGATGGACACAGACACAGTGACACCACACACACATAGAGACAAACTCATGTACACACACACACACACACACACAAAAGAGAGTGAGGGACAGACAGACATATATACACACACACACACACACACACACACACACACACACACACACACGTTTAGTCTATTCTACTAATTTTGAAACTCAGGATTTCAGAAACAAATGAAAATACATACAATCAACATCCTCATTTCACTGAAGCACAAACATTACAGTCTTGATGACACTGTTGAAGAGTCTTGCGCAAACTGTAGCTCGAGTCACACATTTCAGCAATTGCCTTTAAGCAATCACACACAGTCACTTCAGCGATCACTATCTATGTCTGGTTTCCAGCAGACTTTCACTTTGATTCAAACCTAAATTTACAGTTACAACATCTGCTTTACAGGCAAGGTCGCAAGAAGGTTGCTGGTTCGAGTACCTGCAGGGTCAGTTGGCATTTCTGTGTGGAGTTTGGATGTTCTCCCCGTGTTGGTGTGGGTTTCCCCCGGGTGCTCCGGTTTACCCCACAGTCTAAACACATGTGCTACAGGTGATTTAGATTAACTAAATTAGCCGTAGAATGTGAGTGTGTTTGGGGATTTCCCAGTACTGGGTTGCAGCTGGAAGGGCATGGTAAAACATATATATAGAATTAGTTGGTGGTTCATTCCGCTGTGGCGACCCCAATTTACACTCAACTCAAGCATAGTCAAGTGATGAAAAACATCTAGATTTTTTAATATAAATTCATTCAATTCACAAGGAGACAGAAGGTCCTAAAGGCGCAGCTCAAATTTTATTAATGAATTCATTTTAATATCGACATTCTGGTTTACAAAATAAGCAATAAAGTGCATAAATCTTAGACACAGCAACATAAAACATTAAACATCACAGTGCATAGAGCAGGGGTGTCCAAACTCGGTCCTGGAGGGCCGGTGTCCTGGAGAGTTTAGCTCCAACCCTAATCAAACACACCTGAACCAGCTGATCAAGCTCTTACTAGATGAACTAGAAACGTCCTGGCAGGTGTGTTGAAGCATGTTGGAGTTAAGCTCAGCAGGACACCGACCCTCCATGACTGAGTTTGAACACCCCTGGCATAGAGGAAGACTCACAAAGCTCAATTTACGCTAGCTCATCTGTGATTGGTCAGCAGACAAGCTAAACTCAGAATTACTGAATTAAATAATCACCAGTCAAGATTGAGGTTGATATGATAGTGCATTAACATTCCTAAAACAGACTGACGGACTGAAACAAACATGTTGCCTAACTAATCCAATCAGTTTTTTTCTACCAATACTACGATTCATTGCATTTACTCTATTATTTTTAGGTGAGTTGTTGCAAACAATTTATACGAGCTGAATTTAAACAAACATATTTACTAAACGTTATTTGTTTGCTTAAATTCAGCCTATATAAAATGTTTGCAACCACTTACCTTAAAAAAAATATCCAATGAATGATTTTTTTCAGTGTATGTTCTCTAGATCTGTATTATTTTCAGTGCATAATCAGTGCCTTGTTTTTTTTTTTTCAGGTACCATCAGTTGCACCTTCATGGCAGCCATTGACAAGATCTCCGTCGACTGGTGTTTGGCATTCTGGCATTTCTCCAATCACAGCTTTGCGTATAACTTTCAGCCATCGCAGTTTCACTTCTTCAGTTTCGGCTGTGAAGCAGTGGATATATTTGGACTGGCATAGACGGAAACCGGTTGGAGGATGATCCACAGACCTCTGGACGTCCTCAACCTGGTAACCCAAGAGCGGGATGGTGCACAGGGCTTTCACGTCCTGAGATGTAAAAGGATGTGAAAAAATATATATATTCAGGGTTAATATGAGCATTTAAAACAAAAAGGTAAGCTACTAAAGATAAGAAATTGCTGTGTGACTATTAAGGTGTTCTGAATGGTTTCTAGGCTGTTGTTAAAGTGTTAAGAGAAGCTTCTAGGGTTTCAGATGCTGGACAGGATATTGCTAAGATGTTCAGTGTGGTAGCTAGGGTGTAGATATATATTATTAATAATAATAATAAATTAATAAATAAAAATGACAATAAATACATAAAAAATAAATAATATAAATCAAAAATTGATTATTGTTACTATTATTATTATTATTATTATTAGAAGTAATATTAATATTATTATTATTTTTTCTTAATAAGTAGAAATAAATAAATAAAACAATTAATTAATTTATTAGTATTATCATTAATATTAATAAATAGAAATAAATAAATCAACTACTTTATTATTATTATTATTATTATTATTATTATTATTATCATTATTATTATTATTATTATTGTTAAATTAATAAATACAACAATAGATTAGTTTAACATCAATAATAATAATAATAATAAATATAAATAAATACAATAATTTATTAAATAATTGATTAATTTATTATAATTATTATTATTATTATTATTACTAATAAATATAAATAAATAAAATATATATAATTTATTAATATTAATAATAGTAAATACACAAAAACAAATAAAAATAAACAAATAAAACAATCAATTAATTTCTAAATATTATCAATAACAATAATAATAATAATAATAATAAATATAAATAAATCACTAAAATAATCTATTAATGAAGAAGATTTGCATTTTAAAAAAGGAACTCAAATATAATTACTTCCTTTTATAAAGTAATGTTACTTCACTCATTACTTAGAAAGTAATATTAATATGTAACTTGCATTACTTAAAATAAAATAAATAAATAAATTACTAAAGTTAGGAAATTTGCTGTGTTGAAATCAATTATTTATTAATATTATTATTATTAGTAAATAGAAATTAATAAGTAAATAAATAAATAAATAAGAAAAATGAATTTATTCATATTAATAATAGTAAATACACATAATTAAAAATAAATAAATGATCAATTGATTTGTTATTATTATCATCAATAACAATAACAACAACAACAACAACAACAACAACAATAATAATAATAATAATAATAAACTGAAATAAACAATTAAAATAATCTATTAATAAAAAAGATGAAGAAGATTTACATTTTCAAAAAGGAACTCAAACATAATTACTTACTTTTATAAAGTAATGTTACTTCACTCATTACTTAGAAAAGTAATATTAATACGTAACTAGCATTACTTGTAATCTGTTACCCACAACACTGGTTGTGAAGGTATTCTGTTTTAGATCAATTCTATTTTTTTAGAGAAGTTTTAATCCATTACTGAGCTCTGCTAGACTCAGGATTCAGACACATTTGTACTACTGAAATCCCATGACAAGTACATTTCATAAGCTAATGTTTCATGTAATGTGTACATGCACATGGTCAATAATGTACAATCAAATTTATCACAGCACGTCATAAAACACGCAACAATCTATTAAGTTTTAATGTGTTTTTAGTTCTATGTAAAACTGATTTAGGTAATGCACGAATAATGTGAGAGTATGTGTTTGTCCAAAGACACAAACTAAGACAACTAACTGATATTCAAATAAACAGATATTTACTAAACTAATTTCCATGACTTTTGCAAAACGTTTCCAGGTCTGGAAAATGCAGTGTCAAAATTCCACGACTTTTCCAGGTTTTCCATGAACACTATAGACTGCGTTTCTCACCTGCGGTGCACCATACAGGTACAGCACCAGTGCATCATGCTGCGGTATCACACACCAGACCCTCTGAGACGGTTTAGTTCTGTCACTGTACTGCAGGAAGCCACACAGAAAACTGTTTCCTGACACCTGAGCCGCTTCAATCTGGTAAAAGGTTAAGAGAATTAAAAATAAATACATAAATTCATGGTAATAACATCTAAAACACCCTCCAGAACTCGTACCTCAAGAATTCCTTTTTTCTTCCCGCAAACTGGCTCCTCAGCGTCCGCTCTGCCGGTCAGAATGTGGTAACAGTCCTTACACACCTTATTTAACTTGTTGCTGTCGTACCTCAGCGATGCTTTATGGTCCGAACATTTATAGCACACAACCTACAACACATTTCAATATAATCTTTCAGTGTACATGACTTTTTCTTGACTTAAAACCATTTAAAACCTATATTTTGCATTAAAAAGTTCTTTAAAGATTCTTTGCACATAGGATTTGGTTTGTTTGTCTGTGTGTGTGTGTGTGTGTGTGTGTGTGTGTGTGTGTGTGTGTGTGTGTGTGTGTGTGTGTGTTTGTGTGTGTGTGTGTGTGTGTGTGTGTACACCAAGCCAGCTTATATGGCTATTTCCATGGCAAGGAAAAAAAAAGAATACTACAGATATAAATTATAGCAGGGGTTGCCAAACTTTTCAGCCCGTGACCCCCAAGATAACAATGCCAGCGACTCACGACCCCCATTATTTTCAGAAGTGGTTATAATCATACCAATGTTGCACGCAATGGCTCACACATACCAATAGGCCTATGTAAACACAAGCATATTGACAACACAAAAAACTGCAACAGTCTAACGACCATATTATTATTATTATTAATGTAGGTGGGCATAGACTTTTAGATAAATCTCTCTGTAATCTTGGAATTAATCTAGATTAAAATGGCTCATTTGAATTCTGCCGAAGGCGTTCAGAATATGTGCTACCCAAATAATGACTAAATATAAGACATTGAGAACGGGTTTCTCAAGCCAGGTGGCGCATTAGACCAAGGGCTTATCTCCCGTTTCCAAAATGAATCACAAACTGTTTGAGAAACTGTTCTACTGTGATAATTGGTGATGATAATAAATGATGTTTAATAAGATGTGCTTGCGTTTACTAACAGTTTATTTAGATGAACATGAATGTTGAACTGTAGGCCTACATAAGCTCCAAACAGCTGTTTTTGATCATCTTAATCTGACTAAACTCATCACTGAACTAAACAGGAATGATTTAAGACATGTGGAGTATGCAGATATTAGTGACATTATTGAAGTTAACGCCGCAATCAAACTACTACCGTCATGTAGGGCTTCTCGCCATATTTTCCGACAAGATCAACACACACGGCTGTGAGTAAAGGACTGCACACACACACACACACACACACACACACACACACACACACACACACACACACGCACACGCACACATCGTGGAATGCGCAAGTTTTTTTTTCTTTCCATTCTGTGTTATTAAATTCCCAACACTCTCACCAGTCCTACTTATTTGCGACTAATACTCCAGTTTGTCACGGGGGCATGAATGAAATGTCCATGAGTTAAAGTGAAACTGCCGAACTGCAGTTAAAGTCACCCAAAATTACAGGAAACTCTTACATGAAAGCACTTCATGCAAACACCAATTATATTATTGTCTATTAAAGCAAATAACTCGATTACAGATGTCCATGTAAGCGTAGTCAGTCGTGTCTTCGAAGTAAGTTAAAGATGCTGAAGGGCATCCTGCTGATTTGATTCAGAAGGGCACTATATTGTCAGACGACTCACCAGTTTGACTTTCATTCACCGCCATTCGTTTTAAAAACCACCCGGTCCATTTTATTTGTATGTGTTTTACGTAAACTTGTTTATTTTTTTTTCCAAAGTTAACATTTTTATGGAATTGCTCACTTACATATCCACAGGCTCTGCAGTGGTGTCTCCTGCGGGTCAGAGCGTTGAAGGGCTCTTTACATTTCATGCACATGGTCACTTCATTGTCTCGAATCCAGCGCGGGGCTCGTTTGCCCAATTCTTCTTTCTGTAACGCAGAAAAGCACAGCAGTGACAGATGCTGGATTTCCTCTTGACCTTTGTTACGCTTGTTTTTATCAAGTTGCAGACGTCTCATCTCATACTTACAGACACCTCATCTGTCGCTTCTTTACAGGCTGATTTGAACGTCTCATTTTTCTGCTGAAAGATTTCAATGGTTTCCTGAAACGCCTAGAACAAAAATGACCCACAATGAGAGTTTGCTATTGAGGCTTACTTCAAAGATGAAAAATGAATCAATGAATACATGAAAGAATAAATAAATATTACAATATTTTTTTACATAATTATATAAATAAATAAAATTTAAAACATTAAATAAAAATATCAATAAAATATTACAACATATAAATACATACATAATACAATATCACAAATTAAATACATTTTGAAATTTAATTAAATAATTAAAATTACGAAAAATGTATAATCATTAATTACATAAATTAAATGAATAAATAATAAAAATAACAAATTATATGAATAATAAAAATTATGAAAGTTAATTAAATAAATAAAACATTACAAAAAATAATAAATAATAGAAAATTGCACAAATTAAATAATTTTTTTATATAATTACAAAAAACGTATAATTACCAATTACATAAATTAAATGAAAAAATAATAAAAATTACATAAATTAAACAAATAAATAATAAAAAATACATAAATTAAATTAATAAAAAAAGTACAAACGTTAATTAAGTAAATAAATAAAATATTACAAAATTAATAAATAATAAATAACTGCAAAAATTAAATAAATAAATAAAAATAATTAAATAGATAAATAAACCATACAAATTACAAAAAAGTACAAATAATTACCAATTTAAATTTTTTTTATAAATAATAAAAATTATATAAATTAAACTAATTAAAAAATACAAAAATTAATCAAATAAATAATTAAAATCAGTTTTGAGCATCTGAAAAACACTGATACCTTTATCCAGTCCTCCTTGTCCTGCTGTGAGCTGTGGAGAATGAATAGAAAGTCATTATTATGAGCTGAAACTGACGAAACCAGAGCACCCAGTGGAAACCTACGCTAACATGGGCAGAACATGCAAACTCCACAAAGAAGTGACCTAGCCGAGACTCAAACCAGCAACATTCTTGCTGTGAGGCGACAGTGCTAACCACTGAGCCACTATGCTGCCCCTCAAACACATGTTTTTATGTTTCTTTATTTGTGTGTCGGTCACCTGGCCTGCAGCTCGAGTGTTCGCTCTTTTCCGGACACCTGGAAAGTGTGTGGATAATCTTCATTGGACGTTTCCAGCACTTTCATGCCCTCGACTCGGACCCGCGTGCGCACAGTGAAGCGCTGGCCCACCAGACTGAACTTGGGCACGCAGTACAGCAACATATTGTTAAACTAGAAAGAGAAAAGCAGCACAGATTTAACACACAGGGTGACACTAACAAGTATTTTTATGCACTTTCTCAGTACAATATCTAAACGCTTTAATGTATATTATTATTTATGTCTGGAAAGTTTATTTTATTTTTGCAAATATATATATATCAGAAAAAGACAAAATGCTTAAAACATTTAACTGGAAAAAATAAATAGAGATTGTACATTATTGTTTTATATTTATTTAACTAAAAATAATGCACCAAATAAATATACAATGTAAAAATAAAATAAAATAACAATAATAAATATTAATAACAATTATTATTTTATAGTTGAGTAGTAGTAGTAATAATAATAATAGTAATAATAATAATAATAATAATTATTATTATTAACAAATTTAAATAAAATAATAATTTTATATTAATTATATTATTTAATTTAAATATATTGTTTTAAAGGTTTAACCCTTCTCTTCTTTTAGACAAACTTAATTTTTATAATTATTTCAGAAATCAGGCCTTAATAAATTAATTCAATAAACTATAGAAACAAAAACTTAAGCTGTTTAAGTTTAATCCTACAATTTTCCATTATTATTTATAGCATCAAAATGTAAACATTTGTTAATATATTTGTAATTTAATTATTTAAATGCATTTATTTAATTTTATTTTACCAATTTCTTTCAAATTAAATTTAAGAATGTTTAAAATAAATACATAAATAAAATAAAATGCATTTAAAAATGTAATATTTTAAACATTCTCAGTTATATATTTTATCTAATCAAGAATGTTTAAAATATTACATTTTTAAATACATTTATTTGTATTTCAATTTACCAAATTCTTTTCCTTAACATTTAGTTTTTGTTTTCCTTTACCCCACTGGCATATAAATGAAAATAAATTTAATTATCTCGATTTAAGAATTCTTAAAATATTCTGAGATATAATAAACATTCTTAAATTAAATATTTTTTATTTATTATGTGTTATTATTATTATTATTAGTATTATTATTATTAGTATTATTCATAATAATAATAAATGCTTAAAACATTTACATAATTATTAACTGGATAAATGAATAAATTAAATAAATAAATAAACAAACAAACAAACAAACAAACAAATAAATAAATAAATAAATAAATAAATAAATAAATAAATTTTGTTTATTAATTCAGCTAACCAGGAAAAGGTATCTCTCCATGGACGAGGTGTTTCTGGCAGCCAGTTTCAGGATTTGTCCTTCTTTAATGAGTTCGTTAGACGGATTTACGATGTCTTCTTCACCTCCCAACATCTCATAGATCTCCATCAGCTTCTTCAGGTTCTCCTGGAAAACAATACAATAAAAGCGCCATTTAAAAACCTACACACCTAAAATGCATGCAGAATGACCCTGTTAAGGACCACAAGAAATAATCAGAATCAGAAGTGAAAGGTTTGACATTACTAGTACATTTCTTTGGCGATTGGTGCATACATAAAACAAGGTACCAAATTGTTCTGTGCAAATAATGCAAACATACAAATATAGAGGAAAAACTACAACTGGATTTTTATTGGAAGATTTCAATGTTCTGTTGGCTTCATCGGACATGGATCTTCAGCATGCACTTGGGCGGTTTGCAGCTGGGATGAGACCTCCAAGTCTGAGGCCGTGGCCGGAAAGGGTGGCTTGCCATCTCCAGGTTAGAGGAAAGTCTTTACACCAGGAGGAAAAGTTCAAGTATCTCGGGGTCTTGTTTACGAATGAGGGAAGGATGGCACATGAGATTGGCAGGCGGATTGGTGCAGCCGCAGCAAGTAATGCGGCTGATGTACTGGTCTGTTGTAGTAAAGAAGCAGCTGAGCCGAAAGGCAAAGCTCTCGATTTACCCATCAATCTACGTTCCTACTCTCACCTATGGTCATGAGCTTTGGGTCATGACTGAAAGGACAAGATCTCAAGTACAAGTGGCCAAAACGAATTTCCCTCGCAGGGTGGCAGGGCCGACATCCTTATGGATAGGACGAGGAGCTCTGTCACCCGGGTAGAGCCGCTGCTCCTTCACATCGAGAGAACTCAGCTGAGGTGGCTCTGCCATCTGTTTTGGATGCCTTCTGGACGCCTGCCTAGGACGGTGTTCCAGGGATGTCCCACAAAGAGGAAGACACAGTACATGCTGGAGGGACGAAGTCTGTCAGCTGGCCTGGGAAAGCCTCAGGATCACCCTGGAGAAGCTAGAGGGAGAGTGTGGGGTGAGGGAACTCTGGGGTTCTCTCCTGAGACTGCTGGCCCCGCGACCCGGCCCCGGAAAAGTGGTTAAAAATGAATGATTCCAATGTTTATTATAAATACTTCAATGTGCATCATTTAAATAAAGTAACCGAGTCAACTATCATCAAAATATCTTCCCCTCCCTCTCCCATAATATTTCTTCTCTGATTGGTGTTGGCATTATATCATTTTAACCTCCTAGGGCCCGAGTGTCCACATACGTGGACAGCACATTTTAGCTCTTAAGTGGCTATTTAAAACACTTTGAATGTTTTTTATTTTATTTTTTATTATTCTCTTTATTCTCCATTTCCACCTGGGGATACTCATCCCGAGGTCCTCAGATTATGCGGAGTCACTGATTGGACCCAAGACCAGCGACGAGATGATCCCAAGGTGTCCATATCCGGGACCAGACCGTATCCTGAGCTGCTGCTGCAATGTTGGTCATAGGGGAGTGGAGAGTATGAGACTGATTCCAGTGACGCTCCAGGGACAGACGAGTCTTCGCTGAGGCCAGCATCCAGCCTCTACTGCTGACACTGCAGCTCTGCACAAGACTTTTGGCCAGCGGAGAAATTAAAATGGTCGTGCCCAAATGAGTCTGGTTCTCTCAAGGTTTTTTTTCTTCACTCTCCTATTGGTGAAGTTTTTTTCCCTCTCCGCTGTCGCCACTGGCTTGCATGATTCAGGATCTGAAAAGCTACTCAGATGAATTTGCTCTTCAGTGTTTGGACTCTCCATAATGACCTCAAACCACACTGAACTGAGCTAAACTTAAACACTAAAAACTGAACTACCCTGATCCAGTTACTATGACCATTTATGTGAAGCTGCTTTGACACAATCTACATTGTAAAAGCGCTGTACAAATGAAGCTGAATTGAATTGAATATTTTGTTACAGACATATAGTGTCATCCTGCAACTGTTTTGCAGCATGTGAAATGTCCCAAACACTATTTTAACTGTCCAAAATAGGGAAAAATTTTTGTTTTAAGTCTCTGACAGTGAAAACATGTTCAAAAAATATTTATGTGTTATATATGCATTAAAAACAGTCAGGATGAAGTGTTTAATGTAAATTCGCACCACGATTCCACATATATGGACATAATTTTTCTCTAAAAGTACATCATATCAAAAGATGATACTTAGATTTTATTCTAACTAGGTTCAAATAAGCCCAAATAGCAAAGAGAAATAAAAAATGCATGTAAAAAAACGGCTTGGGCCTTAAGAGGTTAATGCTACTCAGATGTCCATAAAAATCCCTTTGTTAAACTGTAGAGTTGAACTTTCAACATCAAAAGTGAACAGAGCAGAGTTTAACATCCCATAATTCAAGTCACAACCGCAAATAAACTGAAAACACCTGCGAATCACTAAATATGGAGACGTTTTTTACAGTGCAGTTGATCAAGTGAAAGTGTGTCTCACCATCTTGCGAATAGCCATGTTGGAGTGTGTGGCGGCCATTGAGATGATGTTCAGAGACTCTGGAAGTGAGAAACAGAAGTGATATTTGAGATGATTCATCCAGATGTGGAACTGAAAGCAGCTGAGGGCCACACAACACTGTTTACCTTTATTTGCTCATGGAAACGTGGGATATTTTTTACAATTCACATGCCCCAAGTTAGGGTTAATGATGTCTCAACATTTGGGAGGGTTTTCTTTGTGTAATGATAATTAAATATTGTGGTGAATTAAATTACAGGAGATGGATTTACTTTGAATAGATTTATAAATAAGCACTGCTTTGTTTTCTATGAAGTCAAATTAAAGTACTCAAATGCAAAAAAAAGCACGGTAAATTTGTGTTGTATAGTGATTAATCATAATTAAACGCATCCAAAATAAAAATGTGCATTTACATGATAAATATATAAAGTAAACAGAGTTTTTTTTCCTTTCACTTTCGTCAATCGGTGAAGTTGTTTGGTTTGGGACTTGTGGAGCTTGCTTGTGAATTTGCTTCTCAGTGTTTGGACTTTCAGCAGTAAAAATGAAAGCACATTGGGGTGCGTTTCCCAAACAACGACATACCTCGCGGCTGAACTATCTTAGTACGATGCATCGATGTCATCGAAAAGAACGATGTAGTTACTAGTGAAAACGCCCAAAATGATGCTCCTAACTGGACGGAGTATCTTCATTTCTTTGTGCAAATAATGTTGTTTACTTCACTTACAAAAGCTAACACCTATATTAATGTCATATATAAATCATATAAATAAACAAATAAATAATGAGGCTATTATAAAATGACATGTAATATTTATTACGTATTAAAAATGAAAAAATCATTTTTAAATAATAATAATAATAATATTAATGATGATGATGAAGATTATTATTATTATTATTATTATCATCAAGTAGGAAATTGTTTATTTGTTTGTTTTTTAAGTCTATTTTTACAATTTGACACTTGTAAACCACTGCAGAAAGTTCCAGCAGGCCCATGTCATATGCAGTACAGATACTTAATAAATAACCTACTATTTACCTACTATTTATAGGTCACCTATAGCTTTCGCTAAAACTGAACTGTAAAAATAGTTTGGAAGCAAATTACACCTAAGAGAGGTGACCTTAATGCTTTTTTTTATTTTTGATCATTCCAACTTTGAATGTTAGAATGTTCTAAATGAATAGGGCATATGGGGGGATAAGTGGGAATAGAACACAGCCAGGAACTATGTTTCAAACTACAGCTCCAGGGGTGTAGTTGCAATCATAGAAGTTTGCGACGCAGTTTGCGAATGTTCGTTTGAGTGACGGATTTGGGAAACGGCAAATCAACAAACTACGTTTGTAACGATGGAACTTTGCGACCTTAGTTGGCTAACCATGGTTTTGGGAAACGCACCCCTGAACGTCAACTCTGAAATCTGGACTGAAACAGTTTTAACTTACTAGATCTTCAATGTTAAGCTGCTTTGACACAATCAACATTGTTAAAGCGCTATAGAAATGAACATTAACTGAATAAACACACTTATTTATGTATATAAATGCACACATGCATACAAAAACAATCCAAAACATATATACATCTTTAAATACTAACATTTACATGACATCATGTGTGTACTGTGTATATTTATCATGCAAATATAAGTACACACATGCATGCATGCATAAATTTGAGAAAATTATATCGTGAATTTGTTTTGAATGTGCTTAATCTTACGCCTAGGACTAAATTAAATGCATACAATCTCTGTTAAAGATTAAGAAGTTATAATTTGCTCTGCCTGAATGATTTAAGGTGGCTCGAAATGCAAATCGTTCAAAAATAGATGCATTCAGGAAGGAAGCAAACACAGTGTTGCACTGAGAAGCACAAATGTTTGGGACTATTTTAACCGGTAACACAAAATACAACCTACACAGAAATATTCCAGTAATCATGTTGGTTGTTGTTATCAACAGAGTACAGCAAACATATGTATAAATATATCTCACTCTGGGCTTGACTGCGGTCTTCATCATCCTCTGGAAGTTTCTTTAGATAATCTTTAAGCAGCATCTCGTATCGAGGAACTCTCTGCACCGGCTCTAGCATGTGATGCTGGAGAGTCAGACTTCCACACACCTCCTGGCTCTACAAACACACCGAGAGCCATTTTCAGCCTACTGAAGAGTTTGTTTCTAAAGGATTCTGGTCTACATTTTACTGTATACTATGCACAATCATTGCATGAAGGTATTTGTGCATACAAGTTTCATTCATCCGTTTAAAAAAGTCTTGAAATAAGATATGATCTTATGAGAAGCAACACTGCATATTAAGGCTAGTTTTCGGAGATTGTTTCTTGCATAAAGTATTTTCCCCCTATTTGACTTATTCACACACACGAAAAAATCTAAATAAACAAGGCAGAATAAAAGTTCAGTGAGAAATGAATACTTTAAAACTAACTCTCTAATGTTTTCATGGACAGACACACACATTACCTGTATGTCCTGAATGATGGCGCTGAACTGTGTGGATCTCTCCATCCACAGTTTGAGCAGCTCCATGGCGCTGTCAAAGTTCTTGACGTATTCTGCGTACATCCTCAGGAAGGGCGCGAGCTGAGCTAGAACATCTCCGACCCGTGGCTTTGAGTCCCTGCAGGAAGACCAGACACACATCGGATCAGAAGAGCAGAGGATCAACACATTTACAGAAGGCACATTTACTCATACTCACCCTTTTGTCAATTCATGAATGAATGATTGACTGACTATAGAGATGAATGAACTAATGTTTGAAGTGACTGAATGGAAAGGCAATTGAAGTCCAATTGAATGAATGACTAATTAAACAAATGAATGAATGAATGAATGAATGAATAAAACATGTTTGTCTGAATGTATGAATGAATGAATGAATAAAGGTAGGAAGGAAGAAATGGAAGTAAAGGACTGTATAAATGACTAATTAAATGAATGAATGAACAAAGAAACACATGTTTGTCTATATAAACCAATGAATGAATGACTAATTAAACGAATGAATGAATGAATAAAACATGTTTGTCTGAATGAATGAATGAATGAATGAATGAATTGGAAGTAAAGGACTGTATAAATGACTCATTAAATGAATGAATGAATGAATGAACAAAGAAACAAATGTTTGTCTGTATAAACCAATGAATGAATGACTAATTAAACGAATGAATGAATGAATAAAACATGTTTGTCTGAATGAATGAATGAATGAAGGAATAATTGGAAGTAAAGGACTGTATAAATGACTAATTAAATGAATGAATGAATAAACAAAGAAACAAATGTTAGTCTGTATAAATCAATGAATGAATGACTAATTAAACAAATGAATGAATGAATGAATGAATAAATAAATGAATGAATGAATGAAGAATTGGAAGTGAAGGATTGAATGAATGACTAATTAAATGAGTGAATGAATGAATGAATGAATGAATGAATGAACAAAGAAACAAATGTTCGACTGTATAAATCAATGAATGAATGACTAATTAAACAAATGAATGAATGAATGAATGAACAAACAAATGTTTGTGTCTATGAATGAAGGAAGAAAGGAAGAAAGGAAGGGTTGGGAGTCTGACTGAATGATTGACTACTTAAATGAATGTCTGTATAAATGAATGAATGAATGAATGAATGAATGACTAATTAAACAAATGAATGAATTAGTAAAAAATGTTTGTCTGGATGAATGAACAAATGAAGGAAGGAAGGAAGAAATGAAGGATTGGAAGTGAAGGACTGAATATATGACTAATTAAACAAATGAATGAATGAACAAAGAAACAAATGTTTGTGTCTATGAATGAAGGAAGGAAGGAAAGAAGGAAGCATTGGAAGTCTGACTGAATAAATGACAGAATAAACAAATGTTTGATTGTTTGTATGAATGAGTGAATCTCACCACTGGCTCATGCGTGTCTCCAGGTCAGGCAGCAGGAACTGACTGTGAAAGGTGTAAATGGAGCCCACATTAGAGAAGATTCCCTTCACCACATCCACTGGGAACGAGCCCTTCAGAGCCTCTTCAGTGAGTCTGACACAAAACACCTTAACATACACAACACACAAACTTAATTTCCAAAACATTTATCATAGATCAGCTGTTTCTCACTGGAGCATCCACACTGAAGAAGCATTATACATATAGTACTTAAGAGTAAAATAAGTCGAGAGATACAGACCTGGTCCAGCAGATGCAGTCGGCTGACGTATGCTCTCTCCGTCTGCAGGAGTTCACTGGAGATCTTGAAGAGCTTGAGTTTATTCACCTGCTCCTGTTCAAAACAAACAGTCGGATCTTTACATATATAGCTGTGCGTGCCACTGTGGTCTGACACTGCAGTTCAGACATTACTAGACTGATGGAAAAACACAGAGGCGTGTGGGTGAGCTAACAGGACACCGCTGATAAAAACTACACAAACACCTGCTTACAGTCGCACAAACTCTGCTCTACTGCTTTATTTTTATATTGTGACGTGGAGGAAAAGATGAGAAGATTTCACCAAGACCTTACACGATGATATCATGATGCTGAGGAGAGGTTTTTGTGGGTTCATAAGATCAAAAAAGGAGTCTTTAAAAATAAAATCGATAATTTTAGTCATTTCAAATGAACAATTTAAATATTTTATTGATTTAATTTCATTTTCTTTCAGCTTAGTCCCTTTATTATGCAAGGGTCGCCACTGCTGAATGAACCGCCAACTTTTCCAGCATGTTTTTACGCACCGGATGCCCTTCCAGCCGCAACCCATCTCTGGGAAACATCCACACACACTCATTCACACACATACACTACGGACAATTTAGCCTACCCAATTCACCTGTATTGCATGTCTTTGGACTG